GGGCCGCGCGGTGGGCTGCCCGGGCTCGGAGTGCTGGAACGTGACTACGACAGCTGAGCGGGGCTGCCCTGCTGACCCGGGCAACCCTGAGGGAGCCGGGCTACAAGACTGCGTGAGAAAAGGGTTAAAGATATATATATATATGTGTGTGTGCGTGTACACACACATACAGTGTAGACATCAGTGGCCACCCACTTTTCAGGAGACAGACGACACGATTCATCCGAGCAAGTCACTGAGCAGGTCGCAAAACCCAGCAACGCCACCACCCAGTGGAATCCAGAGTCTCTACAATAGATTGTCTAAAATGTATTATTATTATTTTATTATTATTTAGGTTTTTTTTTTTTTTTTGATGGCTGATGGGTAAGGGGATCCCAGGATCTGAACCCTTGACCTTGATGTTACCAGCACCAAGTAAAAAAATGGCCAAGATTCCATTAAAAAAAAAAAAAAAAAATGTAGGCCATGCACAGGAAAACAAAGGTTCATACAAACGGTCCCTGAGGGGGCCCAGAGGTTGGATTTAGAAGACAAAGACTTCAAAGCTTCTATTATAAATATGCTCAAAGAAGTAAAATAAACCATGTTCAAAGATTTTTTTTTTTAAGTATGATGACAGTGACTCATCAAATAGAAATTATTAGTAAAAAGAAATGATTAAAAGGAGCCAAGTGGAAATTCGAGAGTTGGAAAACACAATAACTGAAATGAAAAATTCACTAGAGGGGCTCAACAGCAGAAATGATCTAGCAAAAGGAATAATCAGTGAACTTGAAGATAGATCAATGAAGACTCTCCAATCTGAAAAACATCAGGAAAAAAAGCAAAGAAAAATGAACAGAGCCTCAGAGACCCATAGAATACCATTAAGTATATGAACATACACATAACCACATACACATATCTCAAGGAGAGAAAGAGAAAAAAAGCAGAAAAAATTTTTTGAAGGAATAATGGTGCCAAACTTGATGAAAAACATTAACTTACATATCCAAGAAGATAAATGAACTGTGAGATAAACACAAAGAGATCTGCACCTAGATACCTCCTAGTCAAACTACTGAAAGATGAAGACAAAATCATGAGAGAGAAAAATGACTCATCAGACACAAGGAAACTACAGTACGATTAACAGATGGCTTCTCATCAGAAACAATAGAGACCAAAGGACAAAGGGATATTTAAAATTCTAAAAGAAAAAACCTCCCCAATAATTCTATGTCTAGCAAAACTATCCTTCAAAAATTAAGATTAGATAAAGACATTTCCAGATAAACAAACATGGAATGTATTGCTAGCGGATCTCCCTCACAAGAAATGCTAAAGGAAGTCTTTCATGATAAAGGAAGTGACAGATGGTGATGAGAATAAATATAAAGATAAAAGGAGCACCAGCAAATGTAATTACATGAGAAAATATAAAAAACAGTATAAACATATAAACATTTTTTCTAATTTACTTTCTTAACTGATTTACAAAACAGTTGCATAAAACAATAATTATAAAATCATGGGGCTGAGCCCGTGGTGCACTCAGGAGAGTGCGGCGCTGGGAGCGCAGCAGCGCTCCCGCCGTGGGTTCGGATCCTATGTAGGGATGACTGGTGCGCTCACAGCGCTCACTGGCTGAGCGCGGTGCGGCCGGTCTCAAAAAGGACAAAAAAAAAAAAATTCATGTTGCAACATATAACAAATGTATATTTTGTATAACTTCTAACATATAAGGATGTTATAACATATAAAGACATAGTATGTGTGACAATATAGCACAAAGGAGGGAAGAGGAAATAAAACTATATTGGAGCAAAGTTACTATATTTCACTGGGATTAAGTTAGTATTAATCTGAAGATTGTGATAAATTAAGATGCATATTGTAATCCCCAGAATAATCACTATTTTTACATATATATAAAAGGAATTAAAATGGTACAGTAGAAAATATCTATTAACACAAAGAAGGCAAAGGAGGAACAATGGAATTAAAAAGGCATGAAAAATAAGACAACAAATTGTAAAACACATATGTAAATCCAACTATATCAATAATAGCATTAAATGATAATGGATTAAACACTCCAAGCAAACAGCAAACGTTTCCAGAGTGGATTAAAAAACAAACAAGATCTAACTATATTCTCTGTACAATCTATACACTTTTCAAATACATAAATAGGCTGAAAGTGAAATGTGAGAAAAGGTATACCATGAAAACAGTACCCAGAAGAAAGCTAGAATGGGTATACAATATATATATATTTTTTCCTTTTTGTCTTTTTTCGTGTCCGGCAACGGATTGCAACCCTC